CTAAACCATTCTATGATTCTATGATTCCTTGATGTGTTTTCAGTAAAACAAAAGCCCAGAAACACTGAGGGAGAAGGTTTCTAAATTAAAACTTTTTTTTTAAAAAGCAAAATTATTAAAAAGAGGGCATGAAATACTAAGTCTTGATTGTAAAGTCAAAGTAATCATGTGGTGTTGAATTCCTTCAGGCAGAGCTGGAAATTCAGTACAGGAAGAGATGCCTCATGCCTCATTTATCTGTTACTTCAGCAGCTTTGTCTCAAAGAGCCTCACAGAAACCCAAGCAAGAAAATTCCCAAATTCTTAGTCCCCTTCTCTGTGACTGAGATTTTCTGCCTCCTGCTCGTGTAAAACAGAATGTTGTTACTTTGCTGTAATGCTGCCTTCTATTCTTTGATTGCTTTTTAAATAGAAATTGAAGTCTAACTTGGCAAGTCTCACACCTGAAAGCAATAGTGCTGTTGTACAGGCTTATAGGAAAAGGTAAGTGAAAAATGTTTTGGCTAGTTGAGCATAGCTTGATTACAGCTTGTCTAATAGTATTGATACCGTTTAATCTATGTTGACATTAACTAAGAAAGAAGCTGAGTGTTTAGAGAAGCATTCTTTTTAAAGAAAAACTAAGATAAACAAAGATAATTTTGCAGAATTACTAATGTGCTTTCATGTGATCAAAATTATTTATTATAAATTTATTAACTAATTATTGAACAACAGCTTCCTTTGCCTTATGGCCATATAGATTTATCAAATGCTGCAATATGTACTCCCATATGTATTTGGTATAGAGAGTCATTGTCATGGAGTTTTTCTTTTAAGGCCTTAGTAATGGAAATTTTAAAATTCTATAGTTTGTAAGCATTTGGATGCTTTGCCTGTATTTAATAAATATTATTTTAGAAATACTATGCTGTTAAACTAGGAGAAGCATTGTACTACTTTCTCCAAAATGTTTTGCTATAATTTAATATTTTGTAATGAAATTCATATAGATGCTGTCCAGTGTACCTGGGTGGAAGCTCTTCACCGTGTGGCATAGGAACAAATATTTCAAAAAGGTAGGAAACCTGAAAAAAAATGTTCTACTTGCTTTATCTTTGTTTCTATTCACAACTGTGTTTCCAGAGTTCTGTGTTTGAACTCGACAGGACAGCCCTATATTCATCTAAACATATGGCTGCCCGTTAACTGCAGCTGAAGTCAGCTGGTCCCTTCCAGTCCTCTGTTGTTGACCACTAGATCTTTTGTTCATTGGAGGTCTTGAAAGATGTGTGCAAATGAGACACAAGACTCCAAAAATCAAAAACATGTAGTTAAGGAAATTGCTGCTGTAGAATATTGTTATTTTTTCCTGCCTATCTTCAGCTTTCTGTGTGATGCAGAGTACCTCACTTAAATCAGTGGACCGGTTTAAATCATCCCGGAGCCTGAACTGAAAATAGCCAGAGTGCTTTGCAACTGCAACTGAACTTAGTAGGAGAGGTACTGTAAAGTTGTATCCCCACATCCTGTAGAACATTATTGCATTTCCATGTGGGATTTTTTGTAAGTAATTACGCACTTGATGCAGAGTTGGATGCTGGTCAGGTGCCATACCAGTGAGGAGGACCAAAGAGAATATGTCAAGAGAATATCAGTTTATTTTATGTGTTCAGTGAGGTTAGGAACCTGTAAAAATAATACATGATCATATAGTTAAAACACATACTATAATGAATGGGCCAGAGATGTAAAAAAATTTAGATTACAGGGTAACCTTGCTTCTAGTACTTCTGAGTGAGCTCACTGTTATCATCTGTGTAGCTTCTCTGATTGTGATAAGCTCTTGGAACTTTCTGTTCTTTTTCGACCAGAACTTGTGATCAGCTACGTTGTACTGCTTGTGACTTCCGTGTGTCACTGTTCAATGACTACATCTGGGATCAGTCCTGTGATTATCTTTTTTTCAGGTATGTCTGAGGTGCGTTTGGTATTAGTATTGTGTTACTGTGCTTTGGGGCTTGATAGGAACAGGAAAGATGAGAAGGGGCAATGGATTTAAACTGAAAGAGGGCAGATTTAGATTAGATATAAGAAAGAAATTCTTTACATTGAGGGTGGTGAGGTACTGGAACAGGTTGCCCAGAGAAGTTGTGGATGCCCCATCCCTGGAGATGTTCAAGGCCAGTTTGGATGAGACTTTGGGCAACCTGGTGTAGTGGAGGATTTCCCTGCCCGTGGCAGGGGGGTTGGAACTAGATGATCTTTGAGGTCCCTTCCATCATTCTATGATTCTATGATTAAGTCCTGAGGATTCCTGTGTTACATAAAAAGGAGAATATGTGCAACCTGTTCAGTGATCAGGTGGGAAAGTCAGCAGAGAAAGAGATGGAACACCTCCCATAATCTGTGGGGTTTTTTTTCCGTGTCTTCCCCATCACTCTCTCTTTCTGCTTTTAAAAAGAATTCAGATTTCATGGATGGAAAGGCAACTTTACTGCTGACAAACAGATAAATCTGTGTGATGAGTTGGCCTCTGGTGTGCCATTGCAGGATGTCTACAAAATTAATGCAGACTGTTCAGCATGTACTTCCCACCACACCTTCGGTCATACAGGCTGTGATTGTTTCAAGTCCGATTTTCTTTTTTCCAGTATCAAATATTATGCTTTCATACTCAGTAAAGTCAAAGTTGATCTGAGAATACAGCGACTACGCACCAAGATTGCTCTCAGGAAAGGATTGTTTTCAAAGCAGAATTTAAATATATCTCTAAGTTCATTCATAACAGTGGTACTCAGAAATGTTAAAAGCTTTTCTGAATTTAAATGGCCTCATGAATCTTTTTTCTTAAAAAAAAAATATGTATGATCCTAAATTGAATTCATTTGATTGGCAGGAATAACATGCCTGAGCTCAGTAAACTAAGAGCGAAGATGATAAAGAAGAAAGGAGCACGAGCATATGCTTGTCAGTGCAGCTGGAGATCCATCGATGAATTAACTGACCTCCAAACAGACCAGCAGCTTCGGTGGGTTTGTGGTAAACATGCAGAATGAAGTCCTTTTGGGTGTGGTACCTACTTGTGTGGAAACAGGTCATAAACTCAGTTTCTTTCCCACACAGTTTTCTGAGAACAGATGGAAACCTGAATACTTATATCTAGAAATAGATTATAACACCCAGACTTCAACCTGAAAACTTTTTTTCAGTTTAACTGTCTTGGAAGCAATATGAGGAGTTGGATCATTAGAATAAACAACCAATTTGGATGCTTTTTGGAAGCTAAGTGACTCAGTAATGTTAAAGAAAGGCAGAGGAAATGGACAGATTTAGGCAAGGGGCAAAGCACCTTGAGACTGTTCCTCATATCTAGCAGAGAACTTTATTTCCCATGTCTGCAAAATCTTGGACTCAAAATGGTGGGCTGGGATGCAGCCACAGCACACAAACTTATGAATTTCTGCATGGAAATTAATACTGCTGTTCTGCGTTGCTCATAGCTGTTAATGAGCAAGTGGTTGTAGATCTCTTAAAAAATTACTGCGAGATCAGCTCTCACCTCGAAGGTTCCAGCACACCCCAAAACTTTACTTTCTTTTACCCACCAGTAGCCAAAAACTGCAGGTGCTGGAAATTTCCATCCAGTTCCTACTGCTTTCTCCAGAGCACTTTCTGCTGACTAAAGACTTTTGCCACAGTGAATTTCTTGGACTTCCCTTCAGCTTTCACTGCAAGAGGTGATGAAGTTATTGTGCAATTATTAACTATTGTGCAATTTAAAAGAGATTCTGAAGAGTATGTGACTCTTTATCAACATTTTCAAGGGAAAAAAGGCTCAGGCTTTTAAGAGTGAGAATATATATATCCCCACTGATGTTCAAATTTGGATTTTTTTCAGTTTCGCTTAGCTTTCACTTCAGCTTCACTTCAAAATACTACATTCTCAGAAAGTGTAACTGTCCTGTTTCAACACACTCCCTTCCACCAGTAACATCACAAAACTACTTCCAGTATCATGTTACTTGGTGAATTGTCTTGATTACAGTTAATGTCACTATAGTTTATGAGCTCTTTCTTTTCATTATGTATAAATAACGTAGGAGATGGATTTGGGTTGGGGGGGGTCAGAGAGGAAGGAAAGGATTACCAGTCCTGGCAATTACTACATTGAAAAGTGTCTCAAAATGGGAAGTCTGTCAGTATTTGTGCTATGCAGTATGTGATACTGTGCAGGTAAATTCAAAATGACATATTTTGTGCAATCCTGTACAAAGCCATTTCTTTTTTTGTGAAGCTTTGCTCACGACCCTAATCTGTACATTGTCAATCTGTTCTTTCTCTGAGCTTTTCCAAAATAATTGCATGGTCTTTCTTATAGAGGTCATCTCTCAAACCTGTCGCTTTGTCTGTACCTCTCTGAAAGAGCAGATCCTCGTGGTGACCAGAAGCATAATGTCTTTTGCATCCTGCTCACCTTCTGCCTCCTTGAGTGTTTTTTTAGAACTGCAGAGGACCAGCAGTGTGCCTGGGAGGCCTGGCAGTGCTTACATACACAGTGCTGCTTTGGTGCTCTAGAGTGCATGTTCCAGTGCCACATGCGGCCTTGCTAGTAGGCTCAGGGGTGAGTTGGCTTTGGAGAGGCACTACGTGGCATAATGGTATAGACATATTTAGGGTCATGTATTGTTTTCAATGCAATTGGTGTTTCAGGCTGAAGTTTCAACTACTAGAATCTAACACTGGAGGTTCAGGAGAGAGACCCAGAGACCAGTTGATTAATGTTCAGTCAGCTACTGGAAGAGATCTGCTTGCCTTTCTGTCCTTTGTGAAGAGGTAGCCCCTGTGTGGACTTTTCTTCAGGTGGGCCTGAGCGATTTCCATTCCCAGAGAACATCAGTGCTAATGGTAAGAGAAGAACCCAGCAGTAGTATGTAATTTATTAACAAGCTCTAGAGAAGAATAAACGTACTTTCCATTATTCTTCTTGAAGAAGAATGCATTTCAAAAAGTGCTGAGTTGCCTTGGCTTGCCTATTCTAAGGCCATTTGAAACTGATGACCAAGTAGGCCCACAGGATGCTCTTTTGGCCTGGATTTGCACTGGAACTTCTGCCACAATGTAGGGAACAAGTTAGACTTGAAACTTGTGAACAGGAAACAGGAAAAATCCTAACACCCATCTCAGTTCATGAGACTAAGTCTTATGTGACTTGGAAAAGGAGCATGTCTCCTTACCCTGTTTTAAACAAATCAACAGAAATAGTCACCTCCTCTGGAAAAGTTTGGACTACCAAGTGTGTGGAGCAAATCGTGCAGAAACAGAAGTTCAAGACATCCGTTCTAGTGATTTTTATGACAAGAAGACAGCCTGCAGCACTTAAAAAGTGGAGGCTAGGGAAGAATTGAGACAAAAGGACTAAGAGTGTAGGAAAAGTAAAAAGGATTAACACCAATATCTATTGACAACATTAGTCAGCCTTTCTCCTAGGTCACCTCGTCCCTCAGTCTTCTGCTAGCCTGGAGAGTTGCCGAAAGAGAGCTCTCTTTCTGGGTGGAGATTGCTGTCAGGCGATTGCATCAGTAATGCCATTCAGACTGCACTGCAAGCACTGAAAGTGTTAGAAGATAATCCTTATTGGTAAATGTGTGTGGAAACCTGAGCACTCCCCTGAAATCGTCACATTTACCCAAGTGTAGTTACTTGTTTTTGACCTCAGTCAGAAGGGTTGGGTTGTGACAACTCTTTTTCTGGGGGAAGTTTTAAACAGGTGCAGAAATAGTGCTTGTTGTATTGGTTTTCCTTACAGAATTTAGCATATTTCTAGAACACAGACTAGTTACTATGTCATTAAATATAATTATTTTGTTGGAAAGAGGAGTGGTATTAAGTATTTGATTTCCCTTCCTTTACTTTCTTCAGTTACACTCCAAAGTTCACAAAACACTCCAAAGTCCTCAGACTAAAAGAATGTTAAAAAAGGTAAAGTTGGAGCTTGAACGTTCATTTGGTGAAGATATTGTAAGATAGCACAAGGTTTTCAAGATGTAGCCCGGACCCTAAATGATATTTCCGTGTCAGTTATCTGAGGTAGCAGGGGTTATGTAAAGAATTTCTTTTAAGAATGCCATTCAGCTGTTGACAAACAGAAGTACCAGAGAACAGTTTTGCTAAGTATAAATGTGACCGTTGTTTTTTGCTTTGGAAGTAATAACACCATTTCTGTTTGTGAAATGGGCAAGGTGAAAACTTGAGTCTTTCATTTTGTTTGGGTGGTATGCTTGGAAATTTTCTAGCCTGCAGCATTAGTCCGTAGCAGATCCCTCAACAAAACAAAAGCAACGAAGGATGACAAAATGAGAATCCACGCCAAAGCATTCACTTGGAAATGTAGTCAGTGGTGTAATGTCATACCAACTTTTCTAAATCTGTATTCCTGCAGTACTTCTGGATAGGAATCCAATTCAGATATACATTGTACATTTTGAGAGCTTTTCTTATCAAATTTTAATGTGCTGTTGTAACTATATTTCACTTGTTTTACCTGCAAACTATGGAGGTTGTCCAACCCAGATGTTGAATGTAGCTCAGAAGAGTAATTATTAAGGATCCTGCCCTGCCATAAAATTAAACTTACAGAAGCACAATAGTATCACATATTGCAAGCTCTGCACTGTATAAAATTGAATTTTTTTTTTTTTTCTGAACACCTATTTCAGTTTTGTACTGAAGATACTCTGCAAATGCTAGGCACTGGAAGCTGCCACTTGTGGAAAAACTGCTCACTTCTCTTGTTTCCTGACATGTGAGTCCATGGGTCCTGTAACCAGCACATGTGGTAGTCACCCAATAGAGGAGGGACTGGGTTGGGAGCTGTGTAGGCAAATTTTTTTCCTGCCAGGCTCTTTTTGCACAAGGCCTGTCCAGTTTTGTCTGTTGTGTGACACTCGATAACCACACGCAGACCAACCTGGAAGGGGATGGAGTAAAGGAGTGTCAGGTGGTGCTCGTTTGTGAGGGCCACATGTGATGCCTGGGACTTGCCATGTGTGCTCCGAGGAAAGTATTTTTCAAACGTCGACACTTCAGTAAAATAAAAAGTTGGAACAAATCTGAATTGTGTGTTGTGTAAATTCTGTTGTATTGTTCCTATCCAAGAGAAGCCTTATGAAAACGATGTAGGACCATGTTTTCTCTGTCAGAAGGGTTATGAAATGCCCTTAATACAAAAACGTTGTCCAGCTCTTAAGAAACAAAAAGTAGTCGTGTGTGTTTTCTCACATCAGTGGGAATGTAGTAAATACCTGAGAAGCAAATGAGCTTCAACATTCTTTACCAGATAACATGAGGAGAGCACCCACCTTAAATTATAGAGAACTCATAAAGGTGGATGCGTTTTACCACATTTCTTGGATGTTTACTTAGAATAAAAGGTGGAACCAGCTGCTGTGGGAGGTGGCATAGACCTAAACTTCTTGCAGAGTGGGATGCTGGTACCTTTGTGTGTCAGTCAAGGCAGGTCATCACTAGCACCATACTCGGCACTTAGAAGTGGGAGATCAATCAAGGAATCATAGCGTTTGCACCGTTCTTAGTGCCAAGAAGAAGTTGCTGTACAACAAATCCTGGTTTTCTGTCATGAAGAAATGCTGTGTGGCATACATTAGACTCACAGACTGTTTCTCCATGCTGAATTTGAACTGCAGGTGTTGGTGTTATTCAGGCAGTCATCACCTCCCAGGCTTATCATGGCCTCGGTGAGAACACACAGAAGACACCCACTGCCTCGGGAGTGCTCCTGACTTACCTTACCTACGACTTGCAGTGTCACGGTACACTGTTAGAAGGTTGTGCCCGTGTCCATTTCACTCACATTGACAACTCTTATTCTGTTGTGTTAGATGTGCTTTACAAGTATGTAGTTTGGGGTAAAATGTGATTGTACAGTCTAGTCTGCAGAGGGCAGAGCAGCACTTCTGAGTGTTACATTCGGGCTTTTGCTCCGCTCATACAAGCTCATACATTTTTTTTGTGGAATAATGAGGGTTCATATTCCTGC